AAAAAAAAAAAGCTTTAGGGCCCTAAGAGACGCAGTTAAGTCTATCACCTGGCGGTGCCTGACTCAGGAGGTGGTGTCTGGGCCAGAGGCCACAGAGCCTGATGTCCCTTTAAGCAAGGAGTACAAATTCCCATCCCAGTCCCTCCCTCCTGCTCTCCCTGACGTCAGCGGGAAGGCGTGTGTGAGTGAGTGAGGGGCCGGTGCCGCCTGCTCTGTCACACACACATACACACACATACACACACCGAGCACGGCTTCCAGACCCATCCCCTGCCCGCCAGCTCCAGGCGCCGGAGAGAGGCAGAGGCCACCCTGCAGGGCTGCAGGAAGCACCACCTGGACCCCAGCTGCCAGGGAGAGGTAAGGGGCTGGGACGCACCGTGTGAGAAACTGTGGCCTTGGCAGGGACAAGGCTGGAGGTACAACACGGGGGCGGTTGCAAGGCTGGGAGTGTGGGGGCTGGGCCAGCACAGCTTCCCTTACAGAGGGGATGTTGGGGGATTTAGATGTGCCCACCTGTCTGTCCCTCCCTCCTTCTGTCCCCTTGACCCCCAAAGGAAGCTGAGGCTGTGTGGCTTCCTATGGGAGTGTGTGTGCGCGCGTGCACGCGCACCGTGTCTGTGTCTGGGACTTGTGTCTGGCTCAGAAAACAGCAGATACCTGCCAAGCCGCAGCCTCCTGTCTGGGCCCAGGGGGAGAGGAACACCTTGACAGGAGAAACCAGTGTCCCTTCCAGATGCTGCAAGGGGAGTGCAGAAGGAGCAGCCTTGGTCTTCTCCCCTGGAATGTGGGGTTGGGGCTGGGTTGGGACCTTCTGGGGCAGGCAGACAGTTGGACATGGAGCAGCTGTTTATCCTGACTCTCTTTTTCCCCCCCGATATGATGGGATAATTGTGTTATCTGGCTTGGAGAGGTGGCTCCATATTTTTATTTTCACCTCGGAGCCCTTACCTCTCCCTGCCTGCTGGTCTCACTCTGACCTCCCCCCTTGCCAGGGAGCAGCCCCCAGAGGGCAGGGGTGATAAGCTAGGGTCTGCTGGGCCACGCCAGCCGTGGGATGCAGGGACTCAGGGTGGCCTTGGCTGGCGCCAAGCCCCTGAGTGGCCTAACCCTGGCACAAGGAGTCCAGGCGGAGATAAGGGGTGACGCTGACACCCACAAGGAGCCAGCAGGTTCCTGCCAAGCTGCCAGCCTGCAGGCTCTTCCCAAGGAGTGCAGAGTGAGAACAATAATAAATACAGAGTGCGAACTGCTGCATCCCCGGGGCTGGGGGAGGGAGGAGGAAGTGTGCCCAGTGGGGAGCGGGCAACCTCTCTGAGAGCCTGGCACCATGCCCACCTGGATGTGGTCCAGTAGGGGCCTCTCCCTGAGAAGAGGGGTCTCCAGCCCCCAGGGGGAGGGGGAGCTGGTTTCCATCCCAGAGGCCTCTGGATCCTCCACATTCTGAATGTTTCCTCCTTCAGGGAGGAACTTTGTCCCGCCTCCCCCCATTTCCTTGAAATCTTTTCCAAATACATCTATTTTCCATATCTGCACATCTTGATCTGTCTACCCCTCCCCCTCCTAAAAAAAATAAAATAGATAGGTGTAAACAGGCACTGGTTGTACAGGGGCCTGGGGGAGGCCAGAGGACAGTTCTGGCCACAGAGGCCTCCCCCAGGCCTGGAGAGAGAGGGCTGGGCAATGTTCATAATGCGAACCCAGGGCTCCCTGGGGGGCACTGGGGGGCCCACATGGAGAGGGGACACCTGCCCACTGGTCTGGAGGCAGCCCCCAGCCCCCATGGCAGCATCCAGCAGAGGGCGCTCAGGGCCTGGCTGCACTGGTCACGTCCACTGGTCACAACCAGGGCAACCAGGGCAGTCAGGGTCTAGAGCCTGTGGGAAGGGGCTTGGAGTTCAGACTTTTGTCCATGCTGAACAGCAAAATGGGAGCTAAAAGCAGTGGGGGGCTCTTCCCCTGCCCCAAAGCCAGCAAAATGATAGTCACGTGGGGGGTCGGTGGGGGTGAGTGTCAATCTGGGAAGCTCCTGGGCTTTGGGGTCACACTGTTGTGAGTTCAAGCTCAGCTGCTTTATATGTGACTTTGATCAGTCTGTTCCTCTTTCTCAGGGGACTGAGACTGAGAAAGTGACTTGTCTAGGGTCACACAGCCAGGCAGAGGCAGGACTAGGATGTGAACTTGGCTTTCCAGGTGCCATCCTGGCTTCCACACCATGACCGATGCCAAAGATGCCCAGAGGCTGTAACCACAGCCGCCCTCCAGGGCAGCCTGGGCATGGAACAGGGAGGAGGGTTAAAGGGTCTCTTAGGGCCGGCCCGTGGCTCACTCGGGAAAGTGTGGTGCTGATAACACCAAAGCCACAGGTTCGGATCCCATATAGGGATGGTCGGTTAGCTCACTTGGGAGAGTGTGGTGCTGACAACACCAAGTTGTCAGGGTTAAGATCCCCTTACCGGTCATCTTTAAAAAAAAAAAAAAGATCTCTTAAATAATTAAGCTCAAGTATTGGCTGTGGCGCACCCCACCCCCCACCCCTGCACACACGCTGTGGGACGGGGAAGGAACCAGGTTTAATTAGGTCACCTCCAGCTGCAGGAGCAGCTTTGGCACTGATGTATTTTAAGGAGCGTCTGGGAGGCTGGGGGAGGGGAAGAGCCAGGAAGTGCCAGCTGCTGTCTGGTGGTCCTGAGGTTTTCTCGCCCTCCTAGGACCCCCCATGGACGAGACCCCACCATTCAGGAAGCCCTTCCATCGTTGTCCTTGTGTTCCCTGTCCTTTCTATTTTTAAGCAAATGTGCCTGTTCCTTCCCATCTGCTCCCCCATAATGGGGGCTCGGGGCTGGGACATTTTTATTGGGGGAGTTGTTTTTAGGCTTTGGAGAGTTGGTGACTCACCCAAGGTCATGGTCTGAGTCAGCACAAAGCCAGGAATAGAACCCCGAGTCTTGACTCCCCAGTTCTTCCACATCCCTGCCCTTCCTTCTCCAAAGGAGGGCAGCAGCTGCTTTCAGGGAACTGCTGGTCCTCACATCCCTGCCTCCTGCCCGAGGCCTTCCCGCACACCCAAACGCCTCCAGCATGCTGACTGATGTACCTGACCAGCTGTGTGGCCTCAGCAAGACTCTTCACCTCTCTGAGCCTCAGTTTACTCTTCTGAAAAATGGGTATTCTTTTTTTTTTTTTTTTAAAGATGACTGGTAAGGGGATCTTAACCCTTGACTTGGTGT